CCTCGTGATTGTGGTAGAGTGAAACACATTGGCAACGACTTTGCAAAGCAGTAGAGGCCACCACGAGTGCATGACCTGCCATAGCTCAACAATCATTCTAAGTCCGGACGAGTCAAGTCTAGAATATAACATGTTAGGATGTCTGATCTAGTATACTTTGTTTGAGTGAACTTTGTATGTTACATGCTATTATAATTGTATGATCTTTGTATATCTACCCTATCCTTCTGCTTGTGTTTGTATGTTGTTTGTGTGGTGTTTTGTTTTGCAATGATCATTGATGAGTGCATATTTAGGCCCACATTTATGCTTTAAAATTAAATTTTTGATGAAACTCATGTGCTTGAATGATTGATTTATAGAGGATTTGTGATGATTTAATATATTGTGTTTGGAATTAAAAGGGACTTAAAAAGTTATTTTAATTGCATAAATTATTCTTGGAAATTCTTATTTTTATTTGTGCAGCTTAAATTATAAGTTCTATTGGTTCAAATGGCAATTCAAGGCCCAAAATCAGGTTTTATTTGGAAAATAATGTACAGATGGGCCAAACAGACAGACTTTACCCTTGCACCTCCTAAAATCAATACATACACTCCTATTTCTGAAACAGGCCAACAACCAAGCCCAAACACTAGGCCTTTTCTTCTACACCCCTAAGTTTCCTACTCCTACCCCTCCTAAACTAGACTCCACCAGATCATGCCATGTGGCAATCTAAAATCCTAAGTGTTATCCAATCACATGCTGCCACATCACCCCCTCTGCCACGTCATCATCTTCCACAGAAAACCCTAATTCCCAATCCAAACCCTAGCCGTCAGCCACCCTGCAGCCACTACCGTCAACCTTCAGGCCACTGTTCATCTTCTTCATCCACCATCCCGGAGCACCGCGAGCCTCCTCCTGCGCAACTCCGCCGGCCACCACGCGCATGCTGCTGCAAGGCCACTACCAAAAGCGTCTTCTCCCTCCTTTCTCGCCAGATCACCACCGTTGCTCACCATGCCGACGCTCCTCCTTCTTCATCGCGAAACCGCCTCACCATGTCGCACACCACCTTCTTCCACGGCCAATCATCATATCAGACCTGCAAATCCAAAAACCTAGAAAACCCAATCCGAACAAAGCTCGCATACCATCCTCACCGCACCATCTCCTCGTTGAGCCGCCGCCACAAGGACCGTCATCCACCATCACAGCGCATCAGTCATGCCGTCCACCACTAGGTGAGTCCCTCCACCGACGCGCAACCAACCGCACTTCCATAAACTGCAAATCAATCACAGAAGCCACAAAGCAGAGGAGCCCTAAAATGTAGAAAGAAATCTCAAATCAGCAAACCCTATCATGCCTTCGAGAAACCCGAATCCATAAGCTTCACGGCGCAGACGCAGGGACCTACCATGAGAGCGTAGCCATAATGTTCATCTCCTTGAGTGAATCCAAAGTCACCAGGAACAACCTTCGGGGCGCAGGAACAATCTTCTGGGCGCAGGAACAATGCGGCACAAGTTTTTCCCTTTCCCCCAATCTGAAACCCTAATTTTGGATGGGGAAGGGGCTAACATGTGGCAAGTTTTCATTGGCCACGTCTATCAGTCAAAGCTGGTCAATTCTATTTTGAATCTAGTCAAGGTTGGTCAACTGAGGGGCTTTCTTGCAATTTCAGAAATTAAAAAGGGGTTAAAGCACAGATAGAAGAAATTCAGGGCTTGGGTGTAATTTTGGAAAATTCAGAAAAGCTAAAAGATAAAATTCAGTTGTTGAATTAATTTAATTTGGGAATATCAACCAAAAATATCCTCCAAATAATGTTATAATTATCTAAATCTTTTAGTTATTTGGGAGATATAAGATAAAAGATTCTATCAACTGAATATTCAGAGTCCAAGCCCAATCAAGCCCTATATAAAGAGACCCAGGGGAGGCAGAAAAGAGATTGGACTTCATTCATTCATTCACCACTTCTCTCTCTCTTATTTCATCTTGTATTGAACTCCATTCATGGAGAGCTAAGCATCTAGGGCTATTCTGCTGTAATTCCATTATGGATTCTGAGGTTAGATTGAGTTAATGCAATTGTTTATTTTGATTATTGATTTAAGTTGTTCTCTCTCTATGTCTTTCATCTCTATCAAATTAAAAGCAAAGATTTTTGCATCATAATGTGTTTGAATCTACATGCATATTGATTATATGAGTTCTAGGGTTTCTAGGTTTAATTGAGAATCTACTTTGATTTAATTTAGGAACTTTCATATGATTAAATGGTTTTTACTATCAATTGAGAATGTAGTTTGATTGATTAGTAATAATTTCAACTATAATCAATTGAGAATTTACTTTGATTGATTAGCTTTTAATTTGGTTAGGAGATTTAAGACTAGACATGATTGAACACAATAGGATTTGATTGAGAATGTACTTTGGTTGAATTCATTGTGAATAATCTAGAAAGGTTTTGCATTTGATTGAGAATTTACTTTAGTTAAATGCATGATCACCCTCAAATTAATTAAGAATGTACTTTAATTAATTTGAAACTTAAATAATAATCAATTGAACAATTATCTGTGAATAATTGATTTTGAATTTATCTTGGAAAATTAGTGGAATTAGCCTATTTCATCTTAACTGTTTTTAAGTTTCTTATTTGTTCTTTAAACCTTCTCCGAACATCATTTTTATTCTTGAACATTGCATTGCATTCATAAGATTCAAATATTAAAAGGCAATTCCGTAATCGTTGGGAGATGACTCAGGGTTACTTTAACCCTATCTACTTTCTTGAATACTACTTGGCAAAACTGAAGTTGCCTTGAAAAGTAGTATTAATTTGTGCTTAAGGCACTTGTATAACAATTAATTTTCCCCAATTTAGGATTTCTGATTCTAATTTCTACTTTAGGGTTCTTAAAACGTTAGCGTTTTATTTTAGATTGGAATTTTCTTTGATTTTAATAAAAGAATCCACACTTCACTTCACAGTGCCACGTAATCATCCAACATAACACCTCACTCAGATTTGGCCACAGTGGTATCAGCACCGTTATGTTTTTAATGGCGTCCACGAAAAGGACCGAATTGAACATTTTTAAACAAAAATATGGGGTCTTATTGAACTTTTTCAAAAGGTAGAATCATTTTGAACCAAACCCCCAAACGTAGGGACCAAATGATGTATTAAACCAAGAATATAGTACTTCAAAATTTGTACCAATCGCTCAGCGAGGTTCGCTGAGCAACCCCAAAGTGCTCTCGCTCAGAGACCCTACTCATTGTGTGAATCCTTCAAACAATACCTCTAGACTCAAAACCACTCGCTCAGCGGATTCTCTCACTGATAAAATAAAACTCGAGTGCTACCAGACCCCGACCTCTCGCTCAACGACACAACTCTCTAAGCGAATCTTCGAGATAGTGCTACCAGACCTTGACCTCTCGCTCTACCACTCAAAATCCCTAACCTTATCCCAAATTATATTTTTTTCTTTCAAAAGTTTTAGTGTACTTATTTTTATTAGAAATTTCAAAAATTAAAAAAAGTACGAAGTAAATGCTAGTATTTTAAAGGAAAAAGAAAGGTATCTATAAGAAAAGAATAATGATACTTTGACAATATTTTTTTTACAACATTTTAATATTATCTATGTATCATATGTTATTGATTCACGGTAAAATTTATGATTATTATTAATAATTATAAAATAATTTTAAACTAATCACGTAAATTATTATAATATTATAAAAGAATGTTGTCGTTATCCATTATAAAAACTCAAATTGCATCTTAAAGGCTTGAATAACTGTCCACGTTTCCTCTTCGACATTTATAAATTTACCCACGTGCTTTATTTATTTTTATTTTTATATCCTCTTTGAAAAATGTAAGTTGATATTTATTTATTCACGCATTACAAAAGAAACTTAGAAGCAAATATGGTATAAATAGAAAAGCGAAGAATTAGTTAACATATTAATCAATTCATCATCAATCACTCACCGTGTGGTTCATCATTCCTTCGCTTCTGCAAATCCCATGGCGGCCATAACCCGCCTCCGCCTCGCCAAGCGCGCCTCCTTCGTCTCTCCTCTGGCCACCCGAACTTTCTCCTTCTCCCAAGTCAACGCTCCGCCGCACTTCGCCGCCTCCTTCCGCCGGGTTCCGCCGCTCGACAACCTGAGCAAGAGGTGTGTGCAGTGGGTGTTTCTCGGTTGTCCCGGCGTCGGCAAAGGCACCTACGCCAGTCGCCTCTCCAACCTCCTTGCCGTCCCGCACATCGCCACCGGCGATCTCGTCCGCGACGAACTCGCCTCCTCTGGTCCCCTCTCTTCCCAGGTTTTCGTCTTCCTCCTCCTCGTTTTTTGAACTTTGTAGGTTATTTTTCAGCTTCGTGATCTTTTTGACGAGGATTTCGTCAAGGTTATTGAAAATTTTCTTTGTACGGTTGGCGCTTGAAGAAAATGAAGCATGATTATTATTTTTTAAAAAATATTAAACATTTGTTATTCAATCTCAAAAACACGAACTGTTATGTTATGATGATTATCTTAAAAGTCAACTAACCTAAAAGTCATATTATAGTAGTGATTTCTTGTAAATTAAGAATTACAAGTTCTTTTATTGTGATGGTGCATAGAAGTTAAATCATACTGAACTTCCAGCTTTTGATCTTGATGGTGGGAGTTGGACAGCTTTATGTGTTTTGTTGTGCCACTTTACTTAAGCACTACTTGCTTTGTTAGTCGTTTTTTTTTCTTTTTTTTTTGTCACTTTGCAAACAGACTTTTGGACTCAAGTTCCATGCATAGGAGTTAGACAATTAAATTATGCTTAAGTAGATTTTCCTATGTAGATGTGCGGAGAGGGTTCTTTAAAAAACATGTAAAATAAAACTAAACAAAACTGAAGTGAAAAGTTTTTAAAATATTTGAAACGTACACTGAGTTGTCTGTATTGCCAGCCCCATGGCTCAAGGTTGATTGGGTCTAGTCTCGTTTCTTGTTGTGGTATCCAAGTCTGTGTAACTGAGTAGAAATGTCTTCAATATGGTGTTGCATAAGGGAAACTTGGACATGATAATAGTTATTATTCTTTGGTTTTTCATTTCACTGGAAATTGAAACACTGTCACTCACAGGCTAGTTGTTTTGGTTTGTGAAAACTAGTTAATAGTGAGGAGTGTCATTGACGTTTCATGTCTTATTCTTATTTAAGCCTGTGGTTGGAGATGCATGTTTCTGATGTATCTCAAACAGTTTGGCATTCCCGTATTTTTGCATTGATTGTATCTTTGATCTTTCATCATATCTGTCCTTTTTGTTGCAAGAGACTAAGGACGTACAGAATGGTCTAATCGTCTGTTCGCTGTTAACTCCTTATTCTTATTTAATTATAAATATTCTCGTATTATTTATTAACAGTAGTGTATACATAATCTTGTAACATTAATTGCATGCGTAATTTATATATTGGGAATGAGGAAAATCTACCTGTTCACCAAGCCAGTGAGTCTTTAAGTCTTGAACATTGATTTTTGTAATTTTAATTGTGAACTAAATTAGTGAATGATGTCTCGATTTCCATTTTCATTTTTCCATTTTTAAGTGCTTTAGGTATTGGATTTTTTCGTTTTAAAAAAAGGTATTAGATATTTTACTACACTTTACTTTTAGAGATCCGTTGACGGACAATAAATGAGCTTCCATTAATACATATAGTTATGGTATTTCAATTTCATATGTTGTAGCCTAATTGTTGCCTCTTTGCTGGGTTACAATGTTTAATTTATGTCCATCGGATCATCTCTTCTACATTTTATTTTTAATATTTGTTTTCTTACAGCTATCAGAAATTGTAAAACAAGGTCAATTGGTGTCAGATGAAATTATAATAAGTTTATTGTCAAAGAGACTTGCAGCTGAGGAAGCTAAAGGCGAATTGGGATTCATTCTTGATGGTTTTCCTAGAACAATAAAGCAAGCAGTGAGTTTCTTCACTTTGGTAAAGTGTATTTCATTATAGGTACTAACCCTCATTTTATTTACTAAATCTTTGGATGAGTACAAGGAACATAAATACTGATAGTCGGTTTTGAAATCTGAAAATGTAATTTTTAAAGAAATGTGAATAATTTTTTCTTTGTATGGATACACCTGATGATTTCATAAGGCGATTTACCTGATCTACTTTTTTTTTTTATGATTTGATTTTCCCACCATATCAACTTCTACTTCCCCCTCATATAAGCAGCTTTAATTCTCTCTGCTTCTGCGTCTTCACCCCCCTTATGTGTTTAAGTTACAACAGTTCTGTTGCGTGCTTCCTGTTCATAGAAGCAATATAAAACTTTAAATTATAGAGTACTCAAATTTTAGCTTTTGTTTTTCGGTGCAGGAAATATTGGAAGGGGTAACGGACATTGACTCGGTAATCAATCTGAAGCTCCGAGAAGATGTTCTGCTTGAGAAATGCCTTGGTAGGAGAATTTGTAATCAGTGTGGGGGTAATTTTAATGTTGCTTCAATTGACATTAAGGCTGAGAATGGGAGCCCCGGAATGGTTATGGCTCCACTTCTTCCTCCTGCGAATTGCATTTCTAAGCTCATTACTCGATCAGATGATACCGAAGCAGTAGTCAAAGAAAGGCTTCGAATATACCGTGAAATGGTATTGTGCACACTATATTATTATTATATGTGGACTTCAAATAGAATGACTGCTTGAGTGGCTTCGTATTTGTTGTATATTTATTTTTATAATGAGATGTTTATAAAATATCTGGGCAAATTTGTTGACGTTGATGTTTCCAATTCCCCGTTGCTTATAGTTACATTGTTGTAAATGATTTTTTGCTTCCCTTTCCATAAATTTAAAAGACTTTCGTGATTTCAGACTCAGCCTGTGGAGGAATTTTACCGTAGCAGAGGAAAATTATTGGAGTTTAACCTGCCAGGGGGAATCCCAGAATCTTGGCCTAAGTTGCTACAAGCCCTTAATCTTGATGATTACGAAGACAAGCGATCTGCTGCAGCATAAAGATATAATAATGTATCATGGTTGTAAGTATGTCATTCTTTGCGTGCATATATATTGCATGCTTGGCAATTTTGCAGGACAGAGAACCAAAGAAAGGGAACTTCCCTTTTAGTATTATTTTGGACAAATAATGATATTTGAAATGCTGTAATCTGATAAAACGGATAGTATTTCTTTCGTTTTAATTTGGTTATATGGGAGGAGTTTCCCAGCATGTAATGTTATAGTGAAGAGTGAGTATATCACAGCATGTAATATTATTGTAAATCAAATGTGAATGAACTTGTTGTTTTGCATCATCTCATGCTCGAAATTTAGGGAAGACTTTTATTGGAGTAGCTTCCAGGTAAACCTTTCATGATGTTCCATGTTATTTGAATAAGTCATTTTGATTTCACAATACCCATCCTTTCATTGAATATGCTTGTTGCTTCAACAAAGTTTTTGTAGTTTGAATTAATAGAACAAGAATTCTCTAGTTTTTGTTTGGCAAGGTAGATCTTATCTATTTAGCCTGTAGGAGCTTTTATATTCCTTCTTGAATTCTCTACAACTGTTTGTTTAGCACCACCGAGAAAATAAGGTGGAAAGCCTTTCTTGGATAATTTGTTTGATGAGTTGAATGGAGAAGAGATAAATAAGAAGAATAAAATAGAAACATTTGTTGTTTATATGGATAGGAATACATGAAAGAAAGTGCATATTCTTTAGCGCCTAAATATTATTTCAGTTTTTTAGCAGAAAGATAATTTACCTTTGCTAATATCATCTTTATTTATTTTTTAAGAATTTAGATCAAGGCAACAAAAAAAAAAAACATTGTCCTATTTTATGCCAATATGGGGAGAATATTTTACTTTGGGTTTCAGAAGTGAATAAATAGGAACCCTAAATGCTGGGTGCTTCTTCTTGCACCCCATTCTTTTCTTGTCCCTCATAAAATTTAAAATTCCCGTTTTACCCTGATAGTCCAAAATCCTAAAATGCAAAACCCTCGCCCACCCACGCCGTTGCATCTCCCACCCTCATTCTTTCTTCATTTTTCTTCTTCCGCTTTCCCATTACATTTTTTAGGCCTTCTCTTCATTCTATGCAGTAATGGAGACTGTGAAGGAAAGCAAGCAATAGCCAGGGAGGGAAGGTGTGCTTCAACCCAAATATTAACGGCAAACTGTATGGAGGAAGATGCACATTGAACAACTGCAATAAAAGGATTCATTCTTCAGTTGGGTAGGTTTCGACTTTTATAATGCTTTTATTTAAGTTTCAACTTTGATAGCTAATTAAGTTTCCTTTCTTCCACCCACCTCTACAATTAGAAATTATTTTCCAGAACATTCATTCCGGAAAGTATAAGAAAATATATTTCAAAATAAATGTTTTGAAAATTATTTTTGAAATACTTGTTTTAGAATTTTTTTATATTTTGGATTAACTGTTCTAGAAATATCTTTTGGAAAATCATTACGAGATTTGGAAATACTTTTTGAATTTGAAAGGTATTTTTTTTTAATCTATAAATTATTTTACAGAACATCCAATTAATATTTAAAATAAGGTATAGAGATTTTTATTATAATTTTAATGAAAGATAATTTGGAAAATATTATTTTATGGGGGGCGTAAGAAGAAAAAAGTGAGATATAGGAAGAAACATCCCTAAATGCTCGGAGAGCTTGAGATCGTAAATTTGGTTAGTTTGAATGAAACTCGTGTGGCAAATAAGGGGGAATTTCTTCATGCTCCTCATGTTTTCTTACTTCCCCTATTTTCTAAATTTTCAATTATATACTTGTTCAAATTGATAGAAAAGGATATTGTAAGATTTTTTTCCATTTAGTTTTTGGATTGTAAGAATAATTTAAATTATACAATATGTAATATAAATTTATATTTTAAATTATACATTTTGTAATATAAATTTGAAAGATAATTGATAATGTAAATTATATTTTAATTGTATAATCAATATGCAAATTTATTCAGAGACAATATGAAGTATTAATAAGATTTTGAATTCTACAGTTCATAATACAAATTTACAAGACAATTTAAAATATAAAATATAATTTATATTTCGAATTATACAATTTATAATTCAAATTTAAAAGACAACCTAAAATACATTTAAAATTATATAATTTGTAATGAAAATTTTATGCTATAAGTTATATAATTTTTGTAATATAAAATTCTAAATTGTATAATGTCTAATACAAATTTGAAAGACAACATGATATGCAAATTTGTTAATGAGAGGTAACTAAATTATTCACCGATACTATGACAGTGATAGAAGAAAACATAGGGTACATAAAAAAAGTCTCCGAAATCAGTACTTGCAATGACGCTCTCAAAACCAAAGTATTTGTAAGTTGTTTCTTTGATTTACGTTTTAGAATTTAGGGTTTAATGAAAAAATTACTCGTGATAGAAATAATGTTAATTGTTTGGATGAAAAAAATTAAAATACAATTGTTCTTAAATTTTTTGGTACTTTTTATTTTTAATATTTGTATGCTTTAACGTCTTTGGGCTGGTTGAATTGAAACAAAACATTTTTTAATTAAAAGCACTAAAGTCATAGATTTTAATTATGAGAAGAAAAAATAAATTTATCTTAAATTTAAGAAATTAAAAATAAATTTAACCAATTTTTTTTACACTTAATTATTTTCTATTTTTTGAAATTTAGATTTTAATTTTTTACTTTTCTTTTTTATTTACTTTTTTCTATTACTCTATTTTTTTTTGCTATCAAGCATTTCTTAGAGGAAAATAGTGAAAGTTATCAATACATTTTTATTATACCTATTGTGTCTCATTCTATCCTTTCAAATTTAAAATTTATTGAAAATTAAAAAAAAAATGAAATCCATAAAATTTTGCAATTTTCATTGGGAGGAGACGCGTCGTAATAAGAATGATAGATTGAATTGTGATAGTCTTTAAATAATAAAAATAAGAGAAAAATAATTGAATGAATGAGTTTGGTTAGTTGTTTTAATTTTGTAGTATTTTACTTTTTTTTTCTATTTTCATTTCTTAGATTAAGTTTCTGGTATATAAATTTGAAAATTTTCAATTGATTTTCTAATGAATTTTTACGATCTATTGAGTATTTATAAAAATTATAGTTTTCAATTGAGCTTCTCTCAAATTTCCTGTTATCTAGGTGATATCTAGGTGATATGGTTATTATCTTGTCTGTCTCCTTGGCTAGTTGTTGTTATAATTTTGTAATTTTTTAATTTTGAAATTTTTTAGTTTTGCAGCTTTTTATTTTTGTAGTTTTGTAATTTTATATTTGAAAATTTACAATGTTTTTGTCTCTCTATGTTTCCTAGACCTTTAGAGCAATGCCTTCTTTAACATTCCAGTATCAAAATATTAATTTTAGCTCATTAATATTTCTTACAAAAGGTTTAGTGGGAACAATGTACTCCGTGAGAATGCAGCACGACACCATCTCTAGTTGAATTTCAACTTTATTTCATCGTCGGTATTTTCGGTATTTAATATCAAAAAAATACCAAATTTATAAGGGAACACGTTAAATTAATGTTGAAAACAATTTTCAACGTCAATTAATAACAAAAAATGATATTTTTTTTACGTTAATCAATATTTTTTTTTTATTTTTTTTTACGTTAATCAACTCTTTTGTTTCTTTTAATAAATAATGATCTATTTTTATAATTTTACGAGATCTGAAAAAATAGAAAATCAGTAAATATAGTCTAGTTTTGACCTTTTATATATCCACAATTGAAATATGAAGTATGAACTATAAACAAAAATTATCACAAATAAATGATGTTATTGGAAATAATAGTATTAACTTGTTATTTTTGGTTTTAATAGCAATGATTATTGGTTTTTTTTGGAATTCTTTTTTACCACTCCTTAAAACTCTTATTTCATGGGTAAAAAAAAAGTTTTTTGTTGGAATTTTTTTACCATATGAACTCTTATTGTTTTTTGCTGGAATTGTTTTTAGTAGCCCATATTATTTAGGTGATATCTCTGTGAAATATTAAAAATTATTTGGAAAGTTAATTGCAATACATTTTTAAACAACTATAACATTTGTTCTTGTTGGCCGATTTGGCAGCATTATATATTGATTTAGGATAGAAAAAATTTAGGATATTAACCATTCTTAGTCCTCTAATCAATCATGACTAGTCTAAGTTTAACCACTCTTGGTATCTAAGTATTTTAATCACTCCTAGTATCAACCCTAGATAACTATCTAGAACGTTTAACTCTCCTGAGCTAAAGAATGCAAGTGTTTTAATTCTCTTCAGAATTCCTAAACACAGTCAGTGTTGGTTTACAAGTACAAATTCTGATAACTCTCAATGACGAAAAATACAATACAACAAATTTCGAGAACTTGTGAAGTTTTTTCTTTTGTTTTATGAACAAACTTAGACGATGTAAGCTTATGAGAGAATAATATAATAATGATACAATGATAGCAAAAGTTCTTATATTTTCTTGTGTGAGTTTTCCTTTTAAAGCTTTCATCGAGAGATGACCGTCCCTTAAAGATGGATGACTTTGTTAAGAGTAGGTGGCTTATCATACAAAGACATAAAGCTTTAGGAAACATTCTAGGAATGTTTTCCTATCTCACAATATATTTTTGATCCTCGTGCAATGCTTTTGAGTATATCTTAATGTTGTTAATATCTGCATAGATAAAGAGGGAAAAAGCATAACAGACAAGGTACAGTACATACATTCATTTAATGATTTATACGTTCATAGAGTGTTGAAGCATATTTCATATAATAAATGTTTAGTACAAGTTTGTGCTTTTTCAAGTAGTGACAATTGATAAGATATAGCGTTTATTGCTTCTTTACTAGACATAATTTTGTCAAATGTTGTTTAATTGTTTATACTTGATAGTCAAGGTTTGTCTTATGAGCGTTTAGTAAGGATATATACTAAGTGATATTTTGTTAAATGTTGTTTGATAAACTTCAAAACTCGAGATGCTAGACAGTCTATTCTTTTAGACGATATTGTCTTAACACACTAACAATATCATTTAGGGGGAATCATATGGGGAGATTCAAACATTTAAGAGCTAAAAGAGTCTAGACAATGTACAATATATTTTTTCTCTTATACATATTTTTTGTTTTAATGCTCTAATACATCAATTCCATGCTTTGATATATTGTTTTTGTAACATCCCAAAAATATAGCATAAAACTATATCAAAGAGTTATCACAAACATGATACTATATAATAGTTATAAACTAGAGAATAAGGTAGTATTTA